TGTAAATGTGTAAATCCCGCCAACGTTTGAGTCGACGGCTTCCATTCGCACAGCGCCGGGCGCTCTGCGCATGCCCGACTGGACCTGCGCACAAGCGTCGTCCCCGGCCGTTGCACCACACGCAGCTCCTAGAGACAGTCGAGGCCAGGACACGAGAGAGCAGACTTCACGCTACCTGATAGTCGAGTCAGGGAGCCGACCATACCCACTACGAGGGCACGAGACAGACGACTGTCAACCACACACGGGTCTCCGAGGACCAAGTACGACGACTCTGTATAAGGTAGTCATCGCCTTGCTTTGAATCAGACATTTGTCATTCCGTTCGTTCAAGTCTAATACACGATCAAGTTTCATTGAATATTCGGATAAAGTCAGCTTAATGTAAAACCTGCTTGCGCTAATTGTTCAGTATATTTATTCTTCAGTATATTGTTCAGTACATTTAGTACTGATCGAGAGTAAACATAATTGCAGACATACATTGACATTTTGCCTCTCACATAATTCGATACTTTTACATGTAGTTATAGTAATTGAACTCGATTGAACAATAATTACATTCAAAGGAATTTACCGTATCTCTTATCTCTTATCCTCAAACATTGGAGGAAACCATTTAGCTGTTGTAGTCTTATTTACTGTGTGTTGTGTGGTTTTAAATTATTTACTTAACGACTATAACCGAAGATATCTAACGTTTTGTGTGACGAATTATCTGTAGTGTAAACAGGTAAATACTGTGCGATATCAAGTGAAGTTCTATCTCAACTAAACGACTATAATCAAAGATATCTAACGTTTTGTGTGACAAATTATCGGTAGTGTAAACCGGTAGAAGCTGTGCGACATCACGAATTCCGGAATAAAAAGGCGCAATGGGCCACTTACCAGGAATTCGTCACTAGCTTCGCTGAAAATTATTTCCCTCCAGACTACCGTAGAAAACTTACCGAAGAAATTGAGAAGAGGACCCAAGGTGAAAATGAATCAATTAGGAAGTTTGTTGTTGCTCTAACCACGCTAATGCGTAGAAGAGGAGGTTATACACAGGACGATATACTCGACCGTCTGTTCACTAACATGCGACCAGAATACAAGTTAACAGTAAGACGTAACCACTGTTACACCGAGGACGATCTAGTAAAGCTAGCCGAAGATTATATGAGAGTTATCTACGTGATAAAAGAAGTTTTCGGCCGCCGCCTAATCATGCTCAATCATTGTTTACTGAAACTGCATACAATCCACGAAATAAAGCATTTACTCCGTATAAAGTTGATGCTATCGAATCCCGAACTTACTTTAAGGAAAACAATCCAACACAGCAAACTATCTTTCAAAATAAGGAAGTGACTCGTGGAATAAACAGTCCTAACAACAGATCACAACAACAATCACGTGTGACGTTTGCTCAAAGGACACCTCCTCCTTACATTTTCAACCCTAACAGTAACCGACCTGTGAGACAATCCCAAGGAGAAACACGATATTTAGAAAGCTTAAAGCGTAATGAAGGAAATGGTAACAATAATGCCAACAACTCAGAGGATTACGTTTGCTGGAATTGCGATGGACGAGGACATAGATTTCGGGACTGTCGACACCCAAAAGTTATAAGGTGTTTTAATTGCAAAAGAGAGGGCGTGTTAACCACAAAATGTCCGTGTAAGGCGGGAAACTCAGATCGAGACCGGAAGGCAAGAGGTGGACCGAGTCTCGCTACAATAAAACCACCTCAATAGAGTGGAAAAATTGGCTAAACAAAGTTAAAAATTTCAATTTTAACACGTGTTCCAAAGTTAATGAATCGGAAAACAGGATTCTCATTACAGTAAAAATTCAAAACGAAAATTTTAATGCCTTGATAGATACGGGCTCAATGATCACTCTAATCGGAACTGATGTTGCCGATTATCTTCGAGAACATGATATAACACCTCAGATGGTTAAAACAAATATTTGTCTGGCCGACCAATCTACACGTACCGTTGACGAAGTTTATGAGTTTGAATGCTCAGTTGGAAACAAAGAAACTCAAGTCCGAGCTATAATGGTACCTAATCTGTCTGTACCCATAATACTAGGAATGGACTTAATCATTCCACTAGAACTGATTACAGTTAACTTTAACGAGTCCAGTGTTACACCTGCAACAGGAGCTACGAACATTTTGAAGTGTAATGCTGTTACACCTCTCTCAAAAGAAGAGAACGAAAAACTAGAATGTTTTCTCGATAAAGAACTTGCTCTATTTAACAAAGTTCCGGGTCGTACGAACTTAATCCAACATAGTATTAGACTAAAATCAGACTATCCCATCAAGCAGCGGTACTATCCCCGAAACCCTGCTATGCAGGCGATTATCGAGAAGGAAATCGATCAAATGCTCGCTGATGATATAATCGAACCATCAAATAGTCCATGGAGTAGTCCATTGGTAGTCGTAAAGAAACCTGGTGGTAAAGTAAGGATCTGTATTGATTTTAGAAAAGTTAATCAAGTAAGTGAACGTGACGCATATCCACTACCTCAGATTGGAGCTATTTTAGACAAACTGAGACAAGCTGAGTACATTAGTACACTTGATCTTAAGTCAGGATACTGGCAAGTTCCATTGGAAGAAAAGAGTCGTCCTATAACGGCATTTACGATCCCAGGAAGAGGTCTCTTTCAGTTCAAAGTTTTACCTTTTGGACTTCACTCGGCTCCCGCTACATTTCAACGCCTACTAGACCAAATCATTGGTCCTGAATTTGAGCCTCATGCTTTCGCTTATTTAGATGACCTGGTGTTGGTGTCTAAAACCTTCTCGGAACATTTAACACTATTGAGTAAGGTTTTCAAGAAACTCAGGGATGCAGGACTTATTTTGAATGAAGAAAAAAGTAAGTTTTGTCGAAAGGAATTGAAATACCTTGGACACGTAATTAACGAGCAAGGTATCCAAACCGATCCTGAAAAGGTTAAATCCATTACAGAGTTTCCTACGCCTAAATGTCCTAAAGATGTAAGAAGTTTCATCGGATTGTCCTCATGGTACCGTCGCTTTGTTGAAAACTTTGCTAAGATATCAGCCCCTCTAACGAAACTTACAAAGAAAAATGTACGATGGGAATGGGGTTCCGACCAGGAGACTGCTTTTGCTACACTGAAAGAAAAACTGACAAAAACACCAGTTCTTTCATGCCCGGATTTCAACCAAACGTTTGTTATTCAAGTAGACGCCTCAAATCATGGCTTAGGAGCTTCTCTGACACAAAACTCTGGGAAAAACGAAAAGGTTATAGCCTACGCCAGTCGATTACTCTCAGATAATGAGAAAAAGTTCACTACAACTGAGAAAGAGTGTTTGAGCTTAGTATGGGCGGTAAAGAAATTCAAGCCTTACATCGAAGGGTACACGTTTATAGCAATAACAGACCATCAAGACTTGAAATGGCTAATGAACCTCGAAAAACCTTCTGGAAGATTAGCGCGATGGGTTCTTGAACTGCAACAGTATGACTTTACAGTGCAGTATAGAAAAGGAGCGCTAAACAAAGTAGCGGATGCATTGTCGAGACACCCAGTGAATGAAAGTGAACAACGTAAGAACCTCCGTACCTGTGTGGTAGAAAAAGGACAACAAATCGAAGAGGATCCTATGCCACAGCCCAACGATTGGTACGGCAAAATGTTCCAATCTGTTACGAAAAATCCTTCAAGACATAAGAACTACACGATCCGTGACGGGAAACTTTACAGGAAATTCCGCTTGAAGAATGGTGATCTAGATCGAACAAAACAGTGGAAATTGTGTATTGCTGATGATCAAATACGTCAAGTCCTAAGAGAATGCCACGACCAACCCACTGCGGGACATTTAGGATGCAACAAAACGATCCAAAGGATAGCTCAAAGCTATTTCTGGCCTGGATTACGTATAGATACGATAAAGTATGTTAGAAGTTGTGAAAGTTGTCAACGCTATAAAGTTGAGCAACGTAAGGCAATTGGCAAAATGTATTTCCGGAAACCTCAAGGACCATGGTATACAGTCTCGAGTGATATTATGGGCCCACTACCACGAACGAAGAAAGGAAATAGATTCATCGTAGTTTTTCAAGTTACGTTTAGTAAATGGGTTGAGATAGCTCCTTTGAAAAACGCAACGGCAACGCAAATTTCTAAGAAATTTGTAGAACTAGTACTCCTACGACACGGTACCCCGGAGTGTATACTGACAGACAATGGGACCCAGTACGTGTCGACAATTTTTCAGAAGCTAACAAAAGACTGGGGCATCGAGCATAAAACGACAGCACCTTACAGTCCACAAGCAAACCCTACGGAACGAATTAATCGAGTTATTAAGACCATGATTTCCCAGTATGTTCAAGAAGACCACCGATCGTGGGATGATCATCTAGACGAGTTCCGGTTTGCCTTAAATACTGTTGTCCATGATTCGACAAAGTTTACCCCAGCCATGCTGAACTTCGGACGAGAGCTCCGTACTCCTTTGTCATTAAGTTCCCAAATTATTGAAGAAAGTTCCACTAATCTACCATCGACACAACAACTTCATCAACTTCGAGCAGCAACGATCAAGAAACTACAAGAAAAATGTGCTGAAAATCTACGGAACGCATTTAACAGGCAAGCTCGGTACTACAACCTCCGTCGCCGGGAAAATCCATACAAGATTGGACAAACTGTTCTTCGACGAACACATACGTTGTCATCCGCGGTGGACTATATTTCCGGCAAATTAGCCCCGAAATTCGATGGACCATTCGTTATTCACGCCGCTGAGGGTGCGAACATATTCGTGTTACGTGACAACCAACGAAGAATCGTAGGCAGGGCCCACGCGAAGGACTTGAAACCCTATTCCCAATGCTGAAGGCAACCCTAACAAAACCCTATTCCTGAATTTTGCTTGCTATTGAGTTGCTTTTATTTTATCATCTCACGCTTTGCTTTGTCATTTCTAACCCCTGGCTTAATGTTCCAGAATGGCTACTAACAAACCCTCACCTCTCATCCCGCTTGTGCACAAGAATGACCTGAAGTGCCTTTCACCTGGATCCCGCCTCTCAGATGCCGTCATAAATCCATACATCAAATTACTAGAACAGCGGACCGACATCCCCGAGTGGAAAGTGCTGGGCCTTGACACCTTCTTTTATCCCTGTTTAGCGAGGGGTCGTCAGGATATAGCTAGACGAAGATTCAAGGTTCTGAACCCGTTTGAATACGACACCATCATCATCCCAATCTTCGTAGAAGAGAAAGAACACTGGGCTCTGGCCGCAGTCTTCCCGAAGGAAAACCGGATACAGTCGTACGACTCCCTGGGATTCTCTCATAAAAAGGGACTCTATCAAATATTTGAAGCATTTAAGAAAGAAGCAGCAAGCAGGGAATTAGAGTTTTGCCCCTCCGCCTGGCATATTCAAGACACATCAGGCACTTGCCCTCGTCAGGTAGGCGACACCGACTGCGGGGTCTTTGTTTTGTGGTTCGCCGAAAGGCTTGCCCGAGGAGATGAAGTCATAAGAATCCCGAGATTCAATCCCAACACTTGAAGGAATCACATCGAAGCTGTGCTCATGAAGGGGCGAATAGAGCTCGAAGACGGGTTCCTGGCAGAGAAAGGGATTATAAGACGAGCTCCAGCCCCTTCACGATCCTGTGTGGATAAAGAAACCAACACGGAGGAGGTAAAGAAGGCCGACAAGGGGACGCACGCAACCGAGAACCGCGTTCAAACCGTGGACGCACTGCTGGACTGGGTACCCGTCTCCCCAGCTGATGCCGTAACCAGGAAAGTAGAAATTGACACCTTGTCTGCGCATCCACCCGAAGAGCAAAGGGACTGGCTTTTAGAACAATTGGACAAAATCGACACGCCCAATGTACAAGAGCCCCCATCACCATGTCTTTCCATCCAAGTTGATCCGACTATCTTAGATGAAGAAATGCCGGGACTAGCTACGAGATGATAGCGAAGCCACAAATCTCCTTACCAGGACCAAAACCACCAAAACGATACAGACGACCGAAACCCAAGAAGACGGTAGTGCAGTTCCCGTGGGGACCTGCTAAGGTGGCTGAAAAGTTAGTGAGGCCGGACTTATTTTGGAAAAACTGAGTAGGATTAGGTTGATGTATTAAGGCTGATTAGGTTTAAGTCATGTGTGATAAATCGTTAAATTCGTTTGGTTCCTATTTGAGTGCTCTTAACTATTATACATTTTACCGTCCTTTTATGTTGTGTGCATTGATAGTATTTATTAAGTAGAATTTGTTTTTATAAATAATATCTAGAGAAAATTGTAAATATTTAATTTTATAAGTAATGTTTTGTATTAAATGTTCATTGTAGGTTTGTAAGATTATAAAACAAACCAAAATTTAAAATATTGAATATTAAGTTGACTGAGAAACAAGTGTGCCTTTGAATACTCAAAATATTCTAACGTAAACGACTATAATCAAAGATATCTAACGTTTTGTGTGACAAATTATCGGTAGTGTAAACCGGTAGAAGCTGTGCGACATCAAGACGTGAGAGCTGATTGAATATTCGAGATACTAGCTTATTTGTGTAATCTGTGTAAATATCAGTGTAAACCATCCTTTCCCTGTGGTTCGCCCGCAGCATCCCCCGATCCTACCTGTGGTTCGCCCACAGCAATTAGCTTTAGTTAGCTTTAGTTCCCTGTGGTTCGCCCACGGCAATTAGTTGTAGTTAGCGATAAACCCCTGTGGTTCGCCCACGGCAATTAGTTTTAGTTAGCTTTAACTCCCTTTCCCTGTGGTTCGCCCGCAGCAATTAGCTTTAATTAGCTTTAGTTCCCTGTGGTTCGCCCACGGCAATTAGTTGTAGTTAGCGATAAACCCCTGTGGTTCGCCCGCAGCATCCTCCGATCCTATCTGTGGTTCGCCCACAGCAATTAGCATTAGTTAGCTTTAGTTCCCTGTGGTTCGCCCACGGAAATTAGTTATAATTAGCGTTAACTCCCTTTCCCTGTGGTTCGCCCACAGCAATTAATCTTAGCTAACGATAATCCCCTGTGGTTCGCCCACAGCAACTAGTCTTAGTTAGCGATAATACCCTGTGGTTCGCCCACAGCAATTAGTTATAGTTAGTGATAATTACCTTTCCCTGTGGTTCGCCCGCAGCATCCTCCGATCCTATCTGTGGTTCGCCCACAGCACTTAGCTTTAGCTAGCGATAATTCCCTGTGGTTCGCCCACAGCACTTAGCTATAGTTAGCTTTAACCTTCTGTGGTTCGCCCACGGAAATTAGTTATAGTTATCGATAATTCCCTGTGGTTCGCCCACAGCATTTAGCTTTACTTAGCGTTAATTCCCTGTGGTTCGCCCACGGCATTTAGTTATAGTTAGCGATAAATCCCTGTGGTTCGCCACGGAAATTAGCTGTAGCTAGCGATAATTCCCTGTGGTTCGCCCACAGCTCTTAGCAATAATATCCTATCCTTAACTGTGGTCCGCCCACAGCACTCCCCGATCCTTATCTGTGGTTCGCCCACAGCATGTGTAAATAGGTGAACAATACGTTTGTGTTTTATATTTAACTATATTTCAGGTGTTGCAGTATAGTAGTGACGAATACGTGTGTCTTGAAAAACGGTATTTTAGGTGTTGTGGTGTAGATGATATTAATACGTTGGTGTCTTAAATAACGGTATTTAAGGTGTTGTAGTGTAGATGTTACTAATACGTGTGTGTCTTGTATAACGGTATTTTAGGTGGTTGTAGTTTTAGCGGTTACTAGTGCGTGCGTGTCTTATATAACTGTGTGGTCGGTGGTGTAGGTTTAGTGCTTACTAATACTTGCGTGTTTTATTTAACTGTATTGTAGGTGTTGGTTAGTAATACTTGCGTGGTTTATTTAACTGTATAATAGGTGTTGGTTACTAATCCTTGCGTGTTTTTATTTAACTGTTTTGTAGGTGTTGGTTAGTAATACTTGCGTGGTTTATTTAACTGTATAATAGGTGTTGGTTACTAATCCTTGCGTGTTTTTATTTAACTGTTTTGTAGGTGTTGGTTAGTAATACTTGCGTGGTTTATTTAACTGTATAATAGGTGTTGGTTACTAATCCTTGCGTGTTTTTATTTAACTGTTTTGTAGGTGTTGGTTAGTAATACTTGCGTGTTTTTATTTAACTGTATTGTAGGTGTTGGTGTGATATAATCATATTTTGCAGCTTAGCTTCTTCCCGTTCCCTAAGATCGACGTATCCGTCCTATCTGTGGTTCGCCCACAGCGATCCGTCCTAACTGTGGTTCGCCCACAGCAATCCGTCCCGAACTGTGGTTCGCCCACAGCACTCCGTCCCGAACTGTGGTTCGCCCGCAGCGCACCTTTCTTTCCATATAGAGAACAAATATGGCAATGATGATAACGTGGGTTCGATTGTTGGAGATTTTATATCTCATACCCTGTGTCTGAGCCATCCGTTCTCTTTTCAGGTTATTAGTCCGCCCTTTACTGTCGATTCGTTAGACATTTCGACCCCTGGAACCACAACCCAGCGCGACTAGCTATCCGGCAACCGGGTCAAAACCGGACTCGCGTATTTTCCGAACGCCTCACCCGGAAATACGTCGTAGCTTCTTCCCGATAAAAACCCAAGCCTGCTCGCGGCGGAGGGATATTAGAGCAGTGTGAATCCCAAACACAAGACTGAAGTACCAGATCTTGATTAGGAAGTTTAATATAGAAATAGAGAAAACTCACAAACAAGACCAATAAAGAACATTTAATAAAATACTAATAAATCTAGCAGAAATTACTTAAAAGCACGAGAACTACATTATTAAGAGCAGAAGGCGGAACGAACAACTCTTGGCGTCCCCCACGGCCAACGAAATAAACAGATCGACGACTCGCATAAGTACTATAACAAATCCTGGTTTGTATACTATACATAATGTGACAGCAAACTGTCACATACTCCCCCCTTGAAACCAAAAGTTTCCCAAGGAAAAGAGTTTCTAAAAAAATTTTTATCAAAGACAAAAGTAAACAAATAAAGACCAAACTAAACCTACTTTACACTGGGTGTTCCCGCTTAACACGAAAATAATACTGAATGACACAAACTTTTCCTAATGGAATAACTGTTTATAAACTGTACCTATATTCACAAAACAAATAAACCACAAAATTGTTCATCACGCAAAATATTACTCTCATATAAACCACATTTTAATTTATGACCTCAAAATTCACGAAATATTCCAAAAAAAAAAAATCCCTAACCTAAAATATGTACATGTAACTTGTCTTTATTCAGAAATTAAAAATGACCTGTTTCCTTCTCTAACTGAATGTTATGTGATTGCAAAACAAACAACTTTAATTAAAACTAGCCTATATGTTCAAAATTGCTTTTTTTAAACAATTGTTTTACCGAGAAAATTGCGTTAACTTGAATTTTGTTGTATTTTTTTATATATATTTATTTTTTTATTTTTCTAACTTTAAATATCTTACGTTAAAATCAAATTATCTAGTGTTGTTTTAGCTTGATTGGTTGGAAGGTGAAAGATGGGAAAGGGTTCCCAATGAAAACGAAAAAGAGAGTGTGAAGAAAAGAGGAAGAAAGAATAGAGTAAAGAGATAGTTATAGTGAGTGCAAGTTAACCAATCAAGTAAACAACATAAACATAAATAAAAAGCATTCTGATTGAAGTCGTCACCACAATCAAAATACTGAATTTAATACTATTAACGCGATTTTCTTAGCAAAAATTGACAAATACTAAATAATAACTTTCTTATACTAAGTTTACAAATTCATTACCGTGTTAACAAAATTGACATTTTCAAATGGGTGCAAACCCTGTTAGGCCTAACATTTCTATTTACTTGGCGAAATCATTATTTTGTCCTCTAAATGGTTTCAGTTGGCTCACGTGAGCCCTGTGGAAAAACACACCATTTTCTGGATAACACAAGCTGCAAGAAACGGGACTTAGAAATCTTTGTATTTGGTATGGACCCGTCCATCGCTGTGATAGCTTTCCAGAGATTTTGTCGATTTTCCTGCTGACCGGATGAGACTTGTATAAAACTAAATCCCCAGTCTTAAAATTACTTTCCTTCCTCCCCTTATTATAATATTTTGAACTTCTGCGCTGGCTCAATAGTAAGTTCTTATGGGCTCTAGACCATATTTTCCTTATCTCGGTGGGAGTTGTGCGTTCAGGGAGTAAATCCCTCAAATTCCATTGTGCGCTCAGAGGGTGATAGGAATTTCTTCCAAACATTAACTTATATGGGCAATACTTATGTCCCTCGTGCATGGCACTGTTGAATGCCAATTGTAACCAGTTTAATTTTTCATCCCATGTTCTGTGGTCATGTGAGTGATAGGAAATTAAGGCAGATCTGAGGTTTCTTATGTATCTTTCTGCTAAACTCCCTTGCGCATGATACTCCGTAATGGTGATGTGATTCATCGCTAGTTCGAAACACATGTCACCAAACACTTTGGATTTAAATTGAGGTCCGTTGTCACTGACTATACTCAAAGGTGAACCAAAACT